CTTATCTTTTGAAAACAAGATTCATGTTTCAGTTTGAAGCAAAATTCCAACTGCTTTGACCTCAGTAAGTAAGAGATTAGTTAGGGGTTAGTTAGGGGCAGGGCAGCTGTTTACACTAAGTACCCATCAGTGTTCCCCTGGGCTTCACTTAGAATCTCCTTCCTCTGGGCTGCACTTTTCCAAAAATGGATCCTTGACTCAGAAACAGGTTTAAGGGTGGACACAGGTAGGTGGGAGAAGAGGTCTTTTTTTTTACTACCTGGTGATGCCTTCTCATAAGGGGCTGCTCTCCAGTTCAGCCGCATGTGAATCACGAGGGTGGATGTTTGAAAGCAGCAAGAAGCAGATGAGGGTCGCAGGCGACAGAACAGGGGGCTTCTCCTGCCAGCTGCACCCAGGGGCCTTGTTCTCCTGTTTCTGAAATCAAGCCCTGTGTTTGGTCTGTTCCTTCTAGGGGAAGAAGAAGAAGAGAAAAAGGGATAAGCAGCCAGGAGAGAGCAGTGGTAAGTTCCAAGCATCCCTCCGTGGAAGGCAGGAGTAGAACCTAAGGGCCACTTTTATGTTAGGCTTCTCTCCGGGGGAGGCAGGAGAAATCCAAGGCCAGGACATTGTGGGGGAACCCATATTAGCCAGGCTTTTTGTTTATGCATTTTAATTAATTGCTTCATGACTGCCCTTTTAAAGCTAGTAACATTCATTGTTGCATGAAAAGCACATTGTAATTCTAGTGGAATGTGTTTTTAAATAACTGTAAAGCCTGTATCTGGAGAGCCGTAGGTCTGCCTAGGGTCGGGTTGATAGCCTGCTTACTTTGTATGTGTCTGAGTAGGGCTAAGGAGGGGGCTGGGGCGAAGGGAGGAGTGTATGAGTGTATGATATTAACTGGGCTGTTCCTGAATGTTCTGATGCATGCCTTTACAGTGGTAAATTGCACCCATTTTAAATTAAGGAGGTTTGCTATTCTTTAGCAGAAATTAGAAATACTGCATAGGCAATCTCAGAGGTCCCTTGGAGAAGGCCAGGCTTTTACAAACAAACAAAACAAAAACCACTTTGAAGGCTTTGTATAATTTGTTCTTTTTTTTCAGAACACAGCGAATGTTTCCTAAATCCTTGCCTTTCACTTCCTCCGATTACAGGTGCTAATGTCATTTTGAGTCATTAAAATAGTTGATAATACTGTTTTTTCATTTTTCTTGCCGTTATATTTGATTAACATTTGAACACGTATGACATTTGAACATTCGTTAAAATGACCATCTACACAGTTTTGTATGTTTCAGTAGAATTTTTTTCAGTTGCCTTTGTTGTTCTTTTTTAATTTAACTTATGTTTTGTTTATTTATTTTTCCCATAACAGTTGTTTAAGCAGTGACGACAGTGATTTAGAGTTGAACTAACTGTGCAAATTGAATATGCAGTATTTCTTTAAAAGAGACTGGTTTTTAAAAAAAAAAAATGGAAGGAATTCAGTAATAAACCTCCTTAATCTAATGGCATTTTTCATCGCTCCCACTAAGTTTTCTCACGCACGCATGCATCTGCAGTATGATTATTTTCTCCTTTGCTTTTTTTTTAATTTTTATTTTTTTCTTCCTTTTGCTTTTCTGCTTATAATTTGCAATCCACTAGCATTTACTGACTGTGCCTGCTTAAATGCTGCTATGAGCTTCCGACTAACTCTTAACAGCTCGTTCACACAGCCTGTTACACCTTTATCTGTTCTTTTCTTAATATTAATGAAAATAAACAGGAAAAGAAACTGTGAACATTCCAAAAGCTGCAATATCCCAATACCACAACCCTTTTCTTTCTTTATTTCTTTTCTGTTTTGTTTCATTTTTGTTCTGTTTTTATTTGTAGTCCCTTCCCCCCCTTTTAAAAAAAACTGTTATACTCTGAGAAGAAAAGAAAGCATGTTAAAAACTTAATTCCCTCCTTTGCTTTATTGAGATAAAAAAAAAAGCAAAAGCAAAAAGCAAATTGAAAGAAAAGAAAAAAAAAAGAGGAACAATATTATTTAAGAAGAGTTAGTGCGTTGATACCTAACTGCCCTTTATCAACTCAAACCGAATCTGAGAGACAGTCCTTTAAGAAGGGATACTGCAGCTTTATTTGCAACAGCTAATTTCACAAGTTGAATAAGAATGTGATTTTCTATCTTTTTTTTTTTTTAATTAAAGAACGTTTAAAAGAAAAATCGAAAGTCAATATTTTGCCATTAGTAACCAGGTCATTGATTTATTCCCTTTTTTATTTTTATTTTTTTCTTATTTATATCTTTCTCTTTTCCCCTCCCTCTCTCCCTGCCCCTCTTTCTCCTCCTCTTTCTCTCTCCCTCTCCCTCTCTCTCCCACTCTCTCTCTCTTTCTCCCACTTCCTCCTCCTCTGCTCGCTTCCCTCTTGAACTCATTCAGACCTGAGCGCTCCTAAGAAATGCCGAGCGCGCTTTGGCCTTGATCAACAGAATAACTGGTGCGGCCCTTGCAGGTGTGTATAGATTTCCCAGATTCGCTGTGCTGGTTTGCAGCTGGTTTATTCGGTCCTTTTCCCCCCTTCTCTGCCCTGTTGCTTTGTAGCTGTGTGTGGATCTTAGGAAACAGAGGGAGCGGGGCACTTCCAAATGTGCTGGGCTCTGTGAGGGAAATGCTTGACCTCCCCGCTGCTGCTAGCCAAAATGCCACTGTAAAACAGCCTCACTCGGACCTCCTCGGGCCAGCGCCTCTCCTGGGGGATGCTGCCCGTCAACCCCTTCCTCAGGACAGCCTAGGACGGGGCTCAGTGATGTCCACCGTCCTCCTGGCCTAGGTAGAAGCAAAGAATGTCACCTCTCCCTCCCCCCCTTTCTCTCTCTCCTTTGATTTGATTTTCATTGTTGTTTTTTGGTTGTTGTTTTCCTTTTGTGTTTTATTGTTTTGTTTGTTTATTTTATTTATTTTTTTTCTTTTGACTCATAGAAGCCCTTTCCCCTTTCATGTACTTGGTAAGGGAAGATAACCGAATGAAACCCAGGTGATGTAGCAGAAGAGTAAGCGTAGAGCTAAGATGTCACTTCCAACTGAGCTCGACCCACCATTGTGTTGTATTTTTTGTGTTTACCTTATGCTGACAGATGCAAATACTCCAAAGAAGTGTCGGGCACTGTTCGGGCTTGACCGACAGACTTTATGGTGCAAACCATGCAGGTATATTATCACTGTGAGGCCTTTGGGAAAATCAAAGCATTCTGTCCTTCTGGTACCTTTAGGGCGACAATATATTTTGCCCTTGTCCCCATCCCTTTCCCCACTGGCATCAATGACTAATAACCCTCATTCTTCCAAAATTTCCTTGCTAATTTAATTGCCATTTCCTCTCCTCACTTTGTCTTTCTCTCCCTGCCCTCCCCCTGCCTCCCCTGCTCATAACAGATACCTTGGCCCTGCCGGTAGCCCCGAGAGCAAACCCCTAATGAACAGGGACGGGCGTTTTTTTTTATTTTGTTTTGTTTTGTGTTTTGGCTTTTGCTCTGAAACCCAGAGTCCTAGAACTGGCCCGGCCCCGTGAATGCATTGCTGGCATAGATGCTGAGCTGGTCGAGCCACCATATGAAAGGTTTCACTGAGTTAACACCTAGCAGCAGCAGTGGCACGTTCCCTTGTGTGTGGCGGCACGATGCTTGGAGACGCGCTCTGGGGCAGGCGCAGTTCTTTCTTTTTCTTTTCTCTTTTTACCCCCCCTCCCCTCTTTGGTTTTGTTTTGCATTTACAAACCACCTACCTGTGCACAGAGGAGCTTGGCTAGCTGACATTGTTTTACAGTGCTGAAAAGAAGCGTGGCATTGAACGGCGTGCACCAGCTAAAGGGCTATAAGCAGTGAGTCACGTATCATAGACTGCAGCGTGCTAGGCCTGCAGCATTGAACAGATAGAAACGTGTGAATGTCAACATCTAGAATATTGGTACCAAAAGGATTCAGAAAAGCCCAGAAGCGTCCAAATTAAACAGCCATGTTCCACCTGCAGGTTTCCACCTAATTCGTAAGCTCAGGGAAGGCTGTAGGCACTTCCTTCTTGGTGGAGGGGTGCCAACTAGTTCTTGTCTCATTTCTTTTCTTTTAATGACCACCTTTGGTTAAATTTGTTGTTTCTTTGTTCTGATACAAGCAGTCTTTGAATTTGGAATATTATGATGGTAGGTATCTCAACACCCCGCACACGCCTCCCTGTCTGTAGTGCCTCCCTCGTCACGTCCTCTCCATGCCCCGTCCATGTGCTCCGTGTCTAGACTCTAGATCAGATGTCCATCACATCACGTGCATGCCCACAAGTCTCCTGTGTCTTCTCCCTTCTCTGCTGCGGTCTGAGGGATTGGGGAGGCGTCTCCACTGACCAGGTGCTTAGGGAAAGAGGGTCTAGGAGTCGATCCTGATGAAGGCTCACCCAGAGGTCCCTCTGCCCGTGGGGAGCAGAGGCAGCGCTGGGCCTTAGATGAACACCCTGTAGGAGGGAGATTCATACCTCAGCCTCCTGTCTAGCTCTGACAGGACAGTGCCACCAAAAGGGACAAATGTACTCTCTCACTACAGCCAGGAGTCTTCTCAGTTTAACAGGATGGGATTGCATCATGGGTCTGATGAGAGATGTTGTGTATTTAATGAGAACTAGCCAAAAAAGAAGGAGCCCTAGCACTCGCCTGCCAACCCAAAGGTCAGCAATACAAACCTATCAGCTGCTGTACGGGAGGAAGGCGTGGCTGGCTTCTTTCATAAAGATTTGCAGCCTCGGAAACCCTCTGAGGTGCCCCAACTCTTCTCTTACGGAGTTACTAGCTGTTGTTGTTGTTGATTGCCTTTGAGTCGAGCTCAACTCATAGTGACCCGATGAACAAAAGGCCTGAAGCCTTTCTATAACTATCAACATTTATCGAAGTTCATAGAGTTTCCAGAGGCATGCTGTTTAGGAAGTGGATGCCACTCCTGCTTCTAATACAGTTACTAGGAGTTGGAGTTCTTGACAGCAATGTGTTGCACCCAAGAAGCTAGGAATTCCACTTACCATCTAGGCAGCAAATGTGTTGTGTGAAGATTTTATTTGCGCTGGGTAGGGAGTGTTGAAGCTGCAGAGCCTAATCAGAGGTACCCCATCCTCATAATGGATCACAGGCTCACATAGAAGAGGGAATTCTCTTGAGTTCGAGACTTGTTTGACAGACACCATTGTATCCACCTCAGAGTGAGGCTGGTGTGGGTGCCCCTTTTAGCTTATGTCAGCCGCTTGGTGGATGATCAGACTAGGAGTCAGTCCCTTTTTTGTTTTGGAAGCACTTGCTCTGCACAGTAGACTTGATCCTCAAACCTTCTAATATTGACCAAGACACACAACTATTCATAAGTTTTGTTTTTTCTTTTAAAATTTTTTTAATTTTATTATTTTGTGTGTGTATGTGTAACGTCAAATCAGATCTGACTGGTAGACTGGTACAGGAGGAGATTGTCTCTCCTTCTCCAGTAGAGCATCTAGTGGATTTGAACCAGGAGCCTCTGGGATTGCAATGCAGCTTCTTGCCACTAGGCCATCAGAGCTCCCTTATCTATAAGTTTTGACTCTCCTTGCTTAAAGTGAAGATCTGGTGTCTTCCTTTGGAGAACAGTAGGGAGGTTTTGTTGGGGTTTTTTTTTTTTTGGTTTGTTTTTTTGTTTTTGTTGTTTGGGTTTTTTTTTACATTAAAACAACAACAAATCTTTGTTAGCTGCTGCTCCTTGTTTTAGCAGCTTGATTTTGGGAAGTGCAGGTTTGGAGGCCAACTATCCATGGCGATGTTTCTGTTTGCAAAGATGCAGAGTAGTTGAGACGTAGGGAATCTGGAGCAGACGGGTCGCGCGGTCCATTGCTGTCTTACGCGTTTCTTTCCAGGATCAGCACCGGTAGAACTTTCCCAGTGGCCATTTCCTTGAACATGATTTTCTATACCATAAAGTGTTAACAACTACATTTCTGCTCTCTTCTAAAGTCCACAGAGAAAAGAGCACTTACTGGCTGTAGATTTCTCTAACAGAACACTGTATGCCACTTTAAGGGTGCACAATTAAGGGTTTTATTTCTGAGCAGAATGAGGAAGAATGCCTAGTTTATTAAACAAAAGAAATTTAGAGATACAAAAGAAATAGATTAGAAGTTGAATGTAGGTATTAAGAAGCCACTGCTCTGATTAGAGAAGGAGCCCAAATTGGAGGGGAAGTTCTGAGCTGGGGATTGTACCTGTTTGTACCTGTTCACTTCTCAACTTCTCCATTTAACCTTGCTATGTCTGGCTTGATGCTAACCAATAGGACAAAAATAGGCTTTTTTTAAAAAAAAAAAAGCAGTTGCTAAATGAGACGTTTTCTGACAGGTCAGAGATCAGTTTACGTACCAACTGCCTTTGCCCAGCCATGCTTTAACAGGAACTCCTTTCTCTCATTCATAGTCCCCATCCCAGTGTTCCAAATGCCCTGTCCATACCCATGATCCAGAAACATCCACGTCATAAGGGGAGGGGGGAGAAGAGAACACAGACTGCTCCCAGCAAGGCTCCTCGCTTGCAACCCAGCGTTTCTAATTTTATTTGACATTTGAGGACATTTTAACAAGTTTCTGTTTTGAGCCCACCAAGTTGCCTTTCCCATCTTTCAGTGTGCCCTAATATAGCATGGAATGCTGCTTGCTGTCACCCCTTGTTTTCTCCTCGCTTTCATTTTTCTCATTTTTGCCCCTCTTGCTTTCTCAATCAGGCTCATGTGACCACCACCCCATGCCCACGCCATCCCCTTCCCTCTTTCCTGCTTAAATTGCATGGGCATCCTAGTTTCTGAGCATGTTCTGATCTGCAAGCTCAGGTGGTTTAAAACTCAGAGAGGCTTACTTCTCGATCTTCAATGCTGAGGTGGGAGCAGACCCCACAGTCTGTTTCTTTCTATCTGGGGAAACAAAACGAACCTCACCAAATTGAGGAGGAGAGGGAAGTTGTGGTACAGGCTACACTTTCTCCAGAGTGCTTTCTGACCCTGAGGAGACAGATAGACAGACTCCTTCGGGTCTCAGCCTCTGGTAGGCAAGGAGGAGCAGCTTGTTTCCTTCCGCCTTTCCCCTCCTTTCCCTCCCTCCCGCCATCTTGCCGAGTCCACCCCTCAGGCAGTGTGAGGATCATGGTCAGAGAGCTCTGGGGCACCGGACAGTGAAGCCGTTCCCTTCCTATCAGAGGCAGGAGACAGTATCTTGACAGTGATGGCCCTCAACCGTGAAATATCTTGGTGGTTTCTGGTGGCAGAAAACCAACCAGTACCCTGTGTTTGGTTTTAGACAGATGTGGGTCCCAGCCATGGTTCTGACCTCACAGTGGGACTCCTTAGACCAGCAGGTCGCCCGCATCTGTATCATCTCTATAACATTAGTGGGATCTCTCCCCGGGATCACCTTCCCCGCCAGTAATACCCCATCAGAGCTTCCTGATAGGAGGAGTTTTCAGGTCCTATGCTCAGTTTCTGCAGTGGATCCCCCCAACTTCATCCTTTGATGGTAAGCAAACCAGGGAGGCTCTAAAATCCCATTCCAGGCATAGGCCACACTTACGCCTTCTGTTTAAAAATGAGTCACACTCCCAGCCCTGAAGGACCACGCTGCCTCTCCGTGGGTTTTCCTTGGTCCTCCCCTCCCTGCTCTGGGTTTATGCCGCACCCCCTCTTGTGCTGAGCCTGACCCCAGCCTCGGCCCCCCTCCACCCCCCATCCTCACCAGCTCTCCTTCCAATCTTCTCATTCTGGGATGGGGGTTGGGAAACCCCAAATCTTACAAAATAAAAATCAAGTTTGAATCTTAAAATAATCCACAACCTGCAGGCCATACAACCAGTTATTCTTGTTCCTTTGGGTCATTTTCCATTTTTCTTATTCTTCTCCCTGCCCCTTTGTTTATCTTCTTCTACCTGTTTTGGTGGTTTTGGTTTGGTTTTCTTCTTCTTTTCATTTTCCTTTTCCTCGTTTGCTTTTTTTTTCATTTATTTATTTTTAATTTTATTTTTTTTTTTTTGGTTGTTGTTTTGGTTTGGTTTTGGTTTTTTTCCGTTTATTTGGTTTTGATTTTGTTCCCTCCCCCCTTACCTGATTCTGACCTCTCTCGATTTGGTGTGGTTCTTAACAGTGGAGCCGGAGAACTCTGAACCGGCAGCTGGAGGTGGTGGTGGTGGTGGTGATGATGGTGGTGGTGGTGATGGTGGTGGTGGAGGAAGTGGTGGTGGTGGTGTGTTACAATCTTTAAGCTCTTGCTCCTGCTGCCTTCGGCTGTGTTGGCCCAACAGTCAACATCCTGAGGGATTTGTCTTGATAGGAGGTGTCTGGGGACAGAGCTCTGTCTTTCTCTTTTAAATGCACACACAACACATTCATGGGAGGTGGGAGTGCTGGGGAGGATCAGAGACGGAGCTTTCCAGTCTCAGTTTGGGCTAAGCCAGTCCCTGATAAGCAGGTGCCATGGTCCACAGGTGGCATCCTTGTACCTGTCCTCTTAGGTCTGGGGAGGGGCCAGGGACAGCTCTCAGGTGTTTGACTTGCTAGATCAGGCTGAGGTGTGGACAGCAGCTGGGCGAGCGAGCACCCAGGTGACTTTGTAATGTTCTCTGGTCCCCGTCTCCAGGGGGCTGCACCTGGGCAAGTGCACTTGGCTCTGAGCATCAGCTAGTTCTCGCCCTTGGCATCTCTGCGCTCTATTCACAGTCGACTCTCTTCCCTGTTTCTAGGAGAAAAAAAAAGTGCGTTCGCTACATACAAGGTGAAGGCAGCTGCCTCAGCCCACCCTCTTCAGATGGAAGCTTACTAGACTCGCCGCCTCCCTCCCCCAACCTGCTAGGCTCCCCTCCCCACGACGCCAAGTCACAGACTGAGCAGACCCAGCCTCTGTCGCTGTCCCTGAAGCCCGACCCCTTGGCCCACCTGACCATGATGCCTCCTCCACCCGCCCTGCTCCTGGCCGAGGCCACCCATGCCAAGGCCCCTGCCCTCTGTCCCAACGGGGCCCTGGACCTGCCGCCCGCCTCGCTGCAGCCGCCCATCGCTCCGTCCTCATCTCTTGCACAGCCGTCGACTTCTTCCTTACATTCCCACACGGCGCTGGCCGGGGCCCAGCCCCAGCCCCTGTCCCTGGTCACCAAGTCGTTAGAATAGCTTTAGCTTCGTGCACCCCCGGATGCTTCGTCCACTCTTTGGTTCGCCTCTTCTTTCTTTTCCTCCCCCCCTTTGACAGGTTCTGTTTTTGTACCCTTTGATTTTGTGCCGCGTGGCTATATTAGTTGATGTTTTATCGAGTTCATTGGTCAATATTTGACCCATTCTTATTTCAATTTCTCCTTTTAAATATGTAGATGAGAGAAGAACCTCATGATTCTACCAAAATTTTTATCAACCGCTGTTTAAAGTCTTTGTAGCGTTTAAAAAATATATATATATACATAACTGTTATGTAGTTCGGATAGCTTAGTTTTAAAAGACTGATTAAAAAAAAAAAAGAAAAAGAAAAAAAAGGAAGCAATTTTGAAACAGCTCTCCAGAAGGAGTTGCTTCTGTATTATTTGTATTAAATACGAGCTTGCGAACCAATCATTTTACATCTGGTTTTTAAACCACAAGGGCACAATGAATGCAGTGCCATTACTTTTTTTTTCTTTTCTTTCTGTGTGAAACAACTTTTATTGTGATGTTACTTGTTATTGTTTAAATGTACAGAAACAAAGGGTTAAAATGTGTTAATATTACCTTGTTCCATGGTGTTGTTCTTTTGGGGGGAGGGGGACACTACTCGGCAATTAATGGAACCACAATGCTGTTGGAACAGTAGTATTTATTGCTTTAGAGATTGCTTGTCGTACCTGTATGTCCTCCTTTAAATATGTTTTCCTTTTTTCTTGAAACTGTATAAAGTTTTTTTCCCCCCTCCCCTTAGCATAAGCATCTTATATATAACGACTCATTTGTACAAGGTTTTTAAGTTTATATATAAAATGTGTATATATTTTTTTTGCCCCTCCCTGATTTTTTTTTGTTTTTGTTTAATTTGATTTGTTTTATTTTGTTTTCCCTTGTATGGAACCCGGATGCCGCCAAATGGACATTACTAGTTGCATTAAAGGATCAGTAGCATTAACATGAGTTGCTTTTTAAAAAGCCATTACATATAATAAGACTTGAAAAATCAGTGAGGGAATTTTAGCAACGCTGTCTGAGAAACATTGGGGGACCATTCTGGGTTCCCCTTCAAACTCACAGTGGATTGCCCTGCGCCATTAGGACATGGACTAACCGTGTGCAGAACGTTATGTGCCAAAATTCTCAGTGACTTTAGCTTTCTCCCTCTTTTTGATGCTGTAATTTTTGTTCATCATGTTTTGCTGTGATGTTACATAGGTAGATTTGTATGTAGTTTTAATGTCACCTATAACAAGATGTGCTTGGTAGCAGATTGTCCGGAAAGCATTTTAAATGAAGAGGTATAAACCCTTATGGGCCAAAATTCTGTATATTAGATTTACTCTTAAAGGAAAACCAGCTGCCACTTCTATGTACTCGTATTACATACAAGTAGGTAGCGAACTTTAAAAATAAAAAAATAAAAAAAAACCTAGGCATGTTGATGTTGCAAAATGCTGTATAAAGCTAAAACCTGTTCATTCAGTGCCATTGTAGTTGACATGAAGCGATTGTAAACCTGTCTCGGATTTTTCTCTGGTTTATTAAGATGCTAACTATAACATTTTTTGTGAATACTTTGAATGTTTCCTAACAGTTGTGATGTTACTGTTCCGTTTTATGCTCTTATTCCAATTTCATTTTCAATGGTTGGGAAGCCATTTTTTGTAATGACTAAATGTTCACTCTGTACAGTCTGTAGCATGCCGTTCTGGATTAATAAAAGCAACTTAGTATGTGCAGTTATCGCCTGATGTCTGTGCTTTGGTTTTTCTTTCCGGTGTAATGTCATTAAAGAGAACAGTGTTCCCAGATGGGGACAGGGCACCTCCTTTCCCTCTTCTCTGGTTGGTGGGTAGGTAGCAGGTGAGCAGTGAGTTAGAAACCAACAAGTGGCGTTGACCCTGAACTTGTCTTGCCCACTGAGATGATTCTTGATATGCTTGGTTGGCATTAACATACCATTTGCAATGAAGATTGCCAACTTTAAAGGGAATCCTTCTTCCCTGTGTGTGCCTTTCCTCATAGCCTCATGGCATTGCCAGTCATCTTTTTCTGAAGGCAGAACGCAGATGCTAACCACGATTGAGTCAGCCCCTGACTTGTGTGACACCCCTCCACACACACACACCGGCACGAGGGACCAAATGCTGCTTGGTCTTGTTTCAGCCCCCTGGTCTCAGCACAGCAGACACTTCCCAGTCATAAGGTTTGCAGTGACTGATTTTTAGAAGTAGACACCCCAGCGCTTTTTTCCTAGTCTTTGTTATTCTGGAAGCTCCATCAAAGCCTGGTGAACCTCAAAACAGCGCCCAAGTTTCCACTGACAAATTGGTGATGGCTCCGTAGAAGGTGTTTTCACCAGGAATCAAACTCGGGTCTCCCTTATAGAAGGCAGTGGCCCTCCCTTGTCTTCACAGTGCCGTCTGCGCACACAGAACAGTCATCTGAGACATCTCACCCTGTCACGGCATCGAGTAGAAAGGATTTAATTCTTCCTAATGAGACTTAAGAAACTCCACTGAAGGTTCGTTGATGTGAAAGGATTCTTCTAAGAGTTGCATGCAGAGAGATGCAAGTGGGTCACATGGAGGGTCTTTCTCTAGTGGTGAGGTGTGCAAGAGGTCTTCAGACACTTCAATAGGGGGCGAGTCCGTTAGAGGTTTGCATAGAAGGGTCTTGGTCTGGGTGGGATCTAAGCTCTTTGGCTCTGCCCTGGTGAGAGTTCACCACTGAGGGGCTGCCGTGAAGATCTGCCTATGTTTCCCTTTGAATTCATTCCTCATCCGAGCTGGCTTGGATGAATGTATATAGATAATCTCCATCCCACTGACTGGGATGGAAATCTATAGCCAGTAAGTACATGTTTCCACTTATCTAGGACATCCGTGCCTTAGCTGTTAGACTCATTGCTGGCCTTTCAAAGGACTCCAGTTTGACATTCAGTGATGCTGTTCGTGTCGACAATTGTTAGTTTTTTATCCTTAACCTTTTGCCCTGAAGTCTCCCTGCTCAGAAACTTAGCTTTGCTCACACTACTTTTTGTTCCATTTTGGTTTGGTTTTGCTTTGTTCTCCTTTGTATTCCAGGGCTGTCGAGAGGTCCAGTGTTCCTTCTTGTCCTTGCCTCCTTGATTTTGTACTCTGGGACCAGAGCAGCCTCAGAAAATCATTAAATAAAAATGATACCTATTATTTGTGGCAGTGGTCCAAGCGTGTATATGTGTTCTTGTAATCCTAGCACTACCACCTGAGTAAGACATTCCCCACCACCACCACCACCTTCTGCTCTATAAAGTGGATTTAGAAACTCAGAGTTTAAGTATCTTCCAAGGCCACACAGCTAGTGCTTGGCGGAACTGGCCTTAAATTCAGGTCTGACTCTAAATCCAACTAAATCTTAACACTTAGGTTACACATCCCAACATTCTAGAAAATGACCCTGTCCCAAACAGAGATTCAAGGATAGTTCCTTTTAAAACCACATGAAGCCACCTCCCCCTCTGCCCTCCATACCTGCTCCATCACATACTTTTTTTTTTTTACTCTTTGGCCAATCTAGACAGCTCTCTGGAAGCACTTTTGCTCATCAGCTCTCAGAGATATCGTTTCCCTCTGCCCAAAAGGTTCTATCCTGCTCTCAGGTGCCCACAGCAGAGGCATCATGTAAGAGGATAATCCTGTCTGCTAGCCAGTGGGCCATGCCTCCCTCCTATGCTCTTTCCCAGCCTGTCTGCGATTTTGAATCCTCTTGTATCCACCAGCCTGTGAGGCTTGAGGTTTTTGAAAAGTGGTGTTAGGTGAGCTGAGTACACTTGATGGAAGCTTTAACAGACTCCATTCATTCATTGGACACTCAGTGAGCACAGGTATGTGGTCTGCACAGGTGTGCACAGGTACATGTTCTACACAGGTATGTGTTCAGCACTGGCACCGAGATAGTTCTGAGTGAAGCCCCTTGGTCTCACCTGTTCCTTTGAGCCCAGTCCTGCAACTTCTTCCATAAGTGGAGTCTTTGAGGGAGGAGAGCACCGGTATTCCTGCTTCTCTGGAAAGGAGCTTTAGATAAGGTGATGTATGGAGCCTGACGTGAGGAAGTCAGGAAGCAGTGCTCCCTGCTCGGATGATGGCCTCTCTACACAGTGAGATGGAAAACGTTAGCACCGAGTGGACGTGGCTCCTGCAGGCAGAGTTGTGATGTGTGAGGGGGCAGAGCTGGGACGAGACCTATTTTCTGACATCCTGTTCCGTCTCCCATCCCCTGATTGCACACAACCCCGGGGCCCATCTGAAAACCAAAACTGCTTTTCAAAACAGGCACTGTGGGAATTTTGGTTATTGAAACCACGAGCTTGTGTAATTGAACTAACATTGACCATGGAAGCTTGCTTTGTTTTGTTGCCCTGTTCTCTGTCTATTTTTAGCTCTTTATTATTAAAGTAGTTTGGGTGTGAAGGTTGTTTTCACAGACTTTGACAGTCTGTGACTTCTACCCTTTTTTTAAGGTTTTAAGAAATGCTCAGTGCATTTGTAAGTATGTTTAGCCCTGTAACCAGCAGAGCTCCTTCACTTTGTCAATTGGTTAACTAGAGTTAGGTAACTAGTCGAATGTTTGGTAGTTAGAACTTGCCCCAGAAGCACCGCAGAAGAAAGGTGAGTTGCACATGCAGCAGCACCATGCATCAGGATCGACTAGGTGACGGCTAACGACTCCAGGTGCTTGTCTCCATAGCATGTATGTATCAGACTGCCACCTGAAAGAACGGTGGCTTGAGACTACCAGCTGCTCCTTGGGACAAGGGGGAGCTTGTGCCATGAAGATGTGGAAGCCAACAGAAGGCCATTTTTAATTGGAATCCACTTGACAGCAGCTCTCTTCCCAGTCAGTAAAAAGAAAGATGCCAGCATTCCGAGGTGGACCACCCTGCTCCAGTAAAAGACCTTGAACTTTGGTGAATGGAAATTAGTGAGAATCTCCAGGCATTTGACCAAAACCACCTTTCTTGCATAGAGAACGCCTAGTAAAGCCATAGTCTGCCTCACAAACATAGCTCTTGTTTTACTCTTCTCGATCTGATTAACAGGGTGTTCAGCTTAAATAAAGTCTCCTGTGTTAATCAAAGTCAGACAATGACTAAGAAGGATAAAAGGAGAATTGATGCCTTTGAGCTGTGGTGCTGGAGAAGAGTAGTGAATGTACCATGGACTGCCAAGAAAACAAACAGATTCATCCTTGGAGGCAAGGATTCTGGGGCTTTGTCTGACATATTTTGGACTTGTTAAGGAGGGAGAGGTCCTTGGAGAGGGACATCATCCTT